CATCAGTGCTTCCCCCACAGAAGTTTCCTCAGACGGCCAGTGTTCTCTGCACAGAGATAAGTGCTCAGGAAAGTATAAATGAGGTAGCTGATTGTTGCCAGGAACGTTGTGTGTGCCTACCAGCGGGGCAGAACAGAAGGAGGGCCGCCCGGCCCTGGCAGAGCCCCACTCCAGACCCCGAGCACTGCAGCAGAGAAGGACCAGCTGCTTTGCTATGAGTGGCCCACCCGGGAGGGCGGGAAGCCGTGCGCAAAAGCCGGCTCCTGATGGTGTGCAGGCTCCAGATGAAATAGGGCAAAAGCACAAGACACTGTGAGGGCTAGGGGTGCCCTGATTTGTTGGACGTGGGGAGAAGTGGGGAGAAAGAGAGGAGGGGGTGTGATTTGTAGAGCTGGGATCTAAAACTAAGTTTAATCAAAGTCATAAGGGCCCCGGGTTTGACCAGGGGAGATTTTTGCCTTCAGGCTTGTTTTTACTCTCACCCACGTACCCTCTCACCTGACCTATGTGACTAGGTAAGTGGGTGTTTCCAAACGCGAATGCCACAGGACAGGCTGGGGATGTGCTTCAGAGAACCTGATGGTGACGTCATTTGGCCGGAGTGTCAGAAGACAGCAGGGACGATGGTGGCTCCCTGGGCATGCTTGCCCTGTCCCAGGGCCAGCTGACCCTCCGCGTGGCGTTCCCTGAGTAGGGTTTGCAACCAGCTGTTTTCTCATCCTTCCCATTGTCTGCAGATGACTTTATCTTTTGACTATTCCAGTTATGGAAAGGTTGACTTTAAGCTGTAACTTCTGTACTGTAAAATACAGTACAAGTTTGCCCTTTGAAACCAAGCACTCCTACTCAGATGGTTATTCTGCATGAACACAGATAAATTAATAGTGTTTTGTTTTTAAAAATATATTTTTGCCAATTTTGATTTCAGAGAGGAAGGGAGAGAGAGAGAGAGATAGAAATGATGCGAGAGAATCACTGATCGGCTGCTTCCTGCACGCCCCCCACTGGGGGGGGATCAAGCCTGCAACCTGGGCTTGTGCCCTGACTGGGAATTGAATCATGACCTCCTGGTTCATAGGGTTGACGCTCAACCACTGAGCCATGCCGGTTGGGCGCCACCCCTGATTTAGACGACACATGAGCCTTAGCTCACTGTTGGTAAATTACCTCGGGTGCCTTTTAATATTTTCCAGTCACTTTATCAACTTCTCGCTGCTGGGAGACGCTTCCCTACCTCACCCAGGAGGTAGTCCTGGAGGAGAAAAGTTCCCAGCTGAGAGGAATGCCTTCTGAGAAGCCCACCTCCACACTCAGGGGTGGGGGAGACCTTCATCACACATGGTCAGATGTGTCTTGGCCGCTTCCCCCACAGACATTTCATAGGACTGACAGCAGTACCATTCGTGCAATGCCATTAGCAGTGCCATTCTCTATGCATGGACATCTGCAAATGTACAGATCTGTGAGTTGGGGGATAAAGCGCATGCTTCTGGAACTGTGCTGGGAACTGCTGTCCTTATCACAGTTTTAGGGGAAAGTAGCCTCTCTGCATGCAGATGCCCCTGTTCTGTGCAGCTCTGTCTAGTCCAGTGGTTCTCAACCTTCTGGCCCTTTAAATACAGTTCCTCATGTTGTGACCCAACCATAAAATTATTTTCGTTGCTTCTTCTTAACTGTAATGTTGCTACTGTTATGAATCGTAATGTAAATATCTGATATGCAGGATGGTCTTAGGTGACCTCTGTCAAAGGGTCATTCGACCGCCAAAGGGGTCGCGACCCACAGATGGAGAACTGCTGGTCTAGTCTGTTAGCTTGTTCACCAGCTTCTCCTTTATGATCACCCTGTGCAGCTGACTTTGACCTTGCCTTCAGGTGACACTCAGAGTCAGGTGGAACTTCTCTCTGGAATTAGAAATATTAAAAAATGTTTAAAGAATTAATGATCTCTCCCTGCCCATGTAGCTCAGTGATTGAGCATCAACCTATGAACCAGGAGGTCATAGTTCAATTCCGGTCAGGGCACATGCCCGGGTTGCAGGCTCAATCCCCAGTAGGGGATGGGGAAGGCAGCTGATCAATGACTCTCTTGAAGGCAGCTGATCAATGACTCTCTCTCTT